GACTTCTCCCTCTGTCTAATCCTCCACACCCAGCCAGCCAATCACTGGGTCTGCTCAGCCCTCTCAGCGTCTCCTTGTCTGCTACCCGAGGGGCGGCCCTCCACGTCCCCGCTCGATGGGGACACCCCATGGGTCCCGCTTCAGCTCCCAGCCGCTGCAAGAATGTTCTCAGTAAGGACACCCATCCCATTACTGCCCAGCCTGTCTTCGGGAATCCTTCACAACCTTTTGATGAATGTGTGACTCTCAGCAGGGAAAACAACGCCTTCTATGCACCGTTCTTTGCCGACTGCTACAGCCCCCGAGCCCCCCCCCCCCCCGCCTTGCCGTGTAGCCCATGATACGTGGCTGGGACGCTCACAGGGATGTGGCTGCCTCAGGACTGCAAACACTGCCCCTTCCACCAAGTTCCCCGGAAAATGCGGAACAAAGAGGAAACTCCTCTTCCCAGGCCGCACTCGAGTGTCCGAGCCTGCTGGGTCCCTTGTACCTGGCCCCCCAGCAAAGAATCCAGCCCACCGCCCCTGCGAGCCCTCGGCTTCTCTCGCTCGCCCTGAAGCCTGAAGCGGTAATGGTGTTTTGTCTCATTTTGCTTCGGTTTCTCCCTGTTCTAGGCTACACGCTTCACTTGGGAAAGAATCATTCTTATATTTGTATTCCTGAGCCAAACACAGTTCTCAACATGTAGCAGATGTTTAAAAATCATTTGTATTCTTTTTTTTTTTTTTGGTACCGGGGATCAAACTCAGGACCTTGAGCTTGCGCAGCAGGCGGCAGAACCACTGAGCTATAAATCCCCGGCCCTTAAAAATCATTCGTTAAATGAATCAAAGCCCAAACAAAAATGGTTTTAATATTCTGCTTGCAAAAAAGAGGCCAATAAGAAAAAAACTGATATCATAAAATTGATAGCAAAGAAACGAATATAAAATTGATAGCATAAATTCAGATTATAAATGGTTAAAGTCCTCTGGAAACTAAGATGATTTCCACAGAGTTTACATCCCCCACAGGTTTAGTCTGAAATGTTATCACTCACAAAACAAAAAAAACCTGACATTCATCGTAAAGAGTCTGAGTACTGTTATTGATTTCTCCAAAATGTCTCCACTGAAGTTTAACATATTTTTGCTTTCAGACTTTCTGGATGTCCGTGTGGAATGATGTGTGACTCTCTCCAAGTAACACAGAGAGGAACTGTTCTGGGTGCTCAAAAATCTTCCTTACTGTACAGCTTACAAGCAACTGTATCCAAATATTACCTCGTGGGTAAAAATAATTCTCAAAATAATACGGGGTAAAAACAGTTGTGCTCAGTTTGTTTATAACTAAAATCGATTCATCGCAGTGATTTTGTGATTAAAAAATAAAGAACAAGATAAGTGGCACAAAACACAGACTTGTAAAGTGAGCCTTTATCACACTCAGACCCTTATCTCACGAGAGGAAAGGTTCTGACTTCATAGATTAAGGGTGTCACACAGTTCAAAAGGATCTGGAGAATGGGAAGCCTGGAAAATACATTTATTGATGGCAACAGAGTGATGGCTGATTCAATAATGTCCCTTACACATGAAGTGATCATGCTAAAAATAATGAGTGTTCTTCCGGTAAAAGCATGAAAAGATGGAAATGAAACTATAGGAACATTTATTAAGTGCTAGATAACTTGATCCAGTCAACCCACTTAATTCAAAGTCATAATACTGCTGGGTGTGGTGGCACACATCTGCAATTCCAGCACTCAGGAGGCTGAGGCAGGAGGGTTACAAATCTGACACCAGCCTACCCTTCATAGTGAGTTCAGGGTGAGCCTGGACTACACAGCAAGACCCTGTCTCAGAAGAAAAAAATTATAATTCTGTGTTAATTAAGTTGTACTTCCTGATGAGAAAACAGGCTCAGGTGGCTAAAACCTTCCAAAAACTTCTGGCTCAACTTCAACATGTTAAGAGCTTGGATACTGTCATTCAAATTCTTAAAATACTACTCTTCTTGATTTGGAAGTTACATGACAAACTTATAAATAATATTTGGGTCAGAGAGGCCTCCGGAAAATTTTAAAAAATATTTCAAAATATTTGAATTAAATAAAAATGAAAAAAATATATCATCGTTTGTAGAGGACAGTGAACCTAGGGACAAAGGGAAATTTAAAGCTTAAAATGAACATATTAGAGAAGAAGTAACTTGTATAATCAAGCTCTTAAGTTTCCACCTTAGAAAATTAGAGAAAGAACAATTTAAGCCTAAAGTAAGCAGAAAAGAAATAAAGTTAGGGCTGAGGATGTAGCTCAGTGGCACCATGCCTGCCTCGCAAGTGGAAGGTCCTGAGTTTGATCCCTGGGAAAGAAAGGAAGGAAGGAAGGAAGGAAGGAAGGAAGGAAGGAAGGGAAGAAAGAATTGAAATAAATGAAATTGAAAACATGAAATCAATAGACCAAACTGCCAAAACCAAAAATTTTTTCTCTGAAAATATCAATAAAATTGGCAAAGTTCTAGTTAGGCCAAACAGGGGTGGGAGACACACATTATTAGAAATGAAAGAAAGGCCATTGTCACTGATAGCATAGACATTAAAGGGTAGTAATGGCATATTATGAACATATGTTTGTAGGGTTGGCAACTTGGATGAAATGAATCCATTTCTTTAAAGACACAATGTATCAAAAACTGACACAAAAAGTAGATAATGTAAATCAGCCTGTCTGCATCTAAAAAATTAAATACATAATTAATAACCTCCAGAAAAAAGAGAAAGCACCAGACCGACATGGTTTTATAGACAGATTTTTACCAGACATTTAAAAAAAGAAACCATTTCTCTACAAATTCTTCCACAAACTAGACATAGGAAGAATACTCTTTGTTCTACAAGGCCCAATTCTGGAACTAGATATGGCTTTACAAAGGAAGAAACTACACACTAATATTTCTCATGAACATAGGTGCAAAAATCCTCAAAAAATATGTTTGGTGATATTTTAGATAAGTATCAAAAGCACAACCCACGAAAGAAAAAAAAGGATTAGTTGAATTTTATTAAAATCAACACTTTTGCTCTGTGAAAAACATGGTTAAGAGAATGGAAAGACGCCCCACGGTGAGGAGAAAATCATGTCTGATAAAAGACGTGTGTCCAAAATATGCACAGAACTCCTAAAACTGAACATTAAGCCAACAAATTAATTAAAAGTGGGCAAAAATCTGAAGACACCTCACCAATGAAAACACTCCCGGAAACTGTTTATTGCACCTGTGAGAGCCGCAGATGACAACAGCAGCTGAGACCCCCCACACACCTGTGTGAATGGCCCGCGTCTGAACACCTGGCTAAGCCAGTCGCTGGCCAGGGACAAAGCACCGAGAGCGCTCAGCCACTGCTGCTTGAATGCTTGAGGCTGCAGACACTCCGGAAGCTCGGCTGTGTCTTCACACGATGGTGACACTGCCTAGCTACACATTTCTCAGACACATCCCGGTGTGAAGTGACACAGAACTTAATTTGTCCCTGTTTATCTGGCATTCAATACATAGAAGCATTTAGTGTATTATACTTATAAAATTCATTACCAAGTACTAACCAAAGTATTTCACACATTTTACTGAGTCCTTTTATTTTTAAATCGGGAAGGACTTTATTTTCAAATGGGAAACATCATGGAATATTTTGATAATCTATGGAAAGAAAAAGTTGACTTAAATATTACTTTGCATACTTGAGATGAAAGCAGTTCCAAATAATTTGCAATTAAAACCTAATCTTAAGTACATGTATAATAACATGTTATGAAGAATAACTACCTAAATGCTTTTGTAACAACAGAATGTGGTAACTTAGTGATTTGCTAACAAGAATGCAGACATAGCTATTTTCTGCTGGAATTTATATCAACTGCAGTTCTTTGAAAGACAATAAGCCTTGACCTAGATAAAAATGATTTTTTTTTTTTTTGGTACCGGGGATCGAACTCGAGTCTTTGCGCTTGCGCAGCAGGCGGTGAAACCACTGAGCTAAATCCCCAGCCCTATAAATGATTTTTCTGAAAGTACTAAATAACTAATAAATTATCTCTGAGACCATGTTTACAATTCAGAACACTTTTTGTGAACATTTGTAAGCAAGTCTGTTATTTTTGCCTGAAATGATTTCATAACGAAAGCACAAAATGTTTGAAGGGGCTAAGAATTAAACAGCAAGTACTAGATGATACAAACTACTTAAAGTGTAGTTGGAGATGACATTATGAATCCATTTTTGCTTTAAAAAGACTCTGGTTTATTTATGGAGCTAAAAATGCAAAAATAATCAGAGATGAGATGATGTAGCAACTTTAATTTTTCTCAATTTTAGAACACCAAATGTTTAAATTCTTTTTCATATGCAAAACATACTTGTTAAACTGGTTGTTATAAATCTTTCTTGCTGGCAACAAAATGGACAAGATAATGAAATATGAAAAGTACCTACACTCCAGGTCTTTGGGAAACAACTGTCTAATAAAAAAGAATTAAAAATCAACAGACTACTGTTGCCAAATAAAAGCAATATTGTTAAACAATAGTACAATACTAATATGAAGATGAAAAGTCCACATTAAATGAAAGAGCAAGCTGTATAACAGGGCTTCCAGGTAAAGATACTGAGACTATTTTAAAGCTACTTAGCTTTATTCTTGTTATTTAAAAATGTTTATGTGTGGAGTCTATTTTCTTTTGGTGTCAGATGTGACTTAGAATTAAAGAAAAGTGATTCAAACATTTTGATAGCAATATTTTATAGCACTTTAAATGAGATTCTGTTAAAGCTTAAGATCTTAATAACCCTACATATACCCATTTGATATTTGTTTACATAATTGATGTCAGTTTATTTTGTGTGAGTGTCAAATGACACTTGTCAGTGATAAGAATTAGAACTATTTTTATGTATTATCATCAGAGAAGTCAGATGTTTACCCACTCGAGTACTAAAATGTGAACATAAAGGTGAAGAAAAGTAATTTTTAACTCACACAAAATTTATTCTCTGGAAAATTAAACTGGCATTAAAATCTCCTTGGAATAGTAGTTTTAACATTTTTTACATTGTTTACACAGAGGTCAGCAATTTCTTTATATAATATAATTATACAAAAGGAAAAAGGCACCGAGACAATCGGTGTATAGATCATAGAAAAGGAGGAATGAGAATAAAATGCAACACACAGCACATTTTCAATTACATGAAAACAATCAGATATATGCTCATTCTATAACATGGACTGCTTATGCACTCTGTTTATGTTTTTGACCAAATAGGCAAATTAATATGTGACAATAGCACAACACTGTTGGTAACCACAGACACTCGTGTGTGTTAGTAAGGTCCATTAATGGTTTAGAATCACTACCAAATATGCTGGAGACAGTTCGAGACCACAGCAATGTACTTCGTCAAGTTGTGTGGTAGAATTTTGCTCACAGAGCATTTAAACTTCATCGCACTGTTATATCCATTATTAGAAAAATAAGTAGGAAAGCTCTGTAGAAACTATACTATTAAGGAAGCTTCTTGCCTCAGAAAAATGAAAGAAATAGGAAGGGGGTACAGGATGGAAGGAGGGAGGGAGAAGACAGAGTAAGGAAATACTGAATAAAAGATTCCACTAATTGAGTTTTTATAAAAATTACATTATTTTGAGAAATAAAGCACAATGCAAGAGTATTGAGCAGTAATGAGCCTCTTGAGTTTTAGAAAAAGAATAGATCCCAACAAGTTCAAGACTCTTAAAATTCATATAATAACTATTCTTCAAGACTAATATAACCGAAAAGTAATACTTACATACTTTCTTATTTCAAAATTCTAGCAAAATCTAGCCAAAATGTGGCTATATTTTTATGTCAGTTTTAAAGATTCCTCAAAACTGTCGCCACTATGTTCATCACAAAAGCAAAGGTTATTTTATTTTAATAAATTATGCAAAAACATAATAGAGTAATTTTTAAATGCAAGTCACTACTAGAGTTTTTCCATTGGTAAACTTAGTTATATATATGACATCAAAATGTCTTTGGAAGTATCACCATTAATTTCTAGCTGTGCTTCAAATAATTATTCAAATACACTTAAATACTTAAATAAAGCCAATTTATGGGCCAAAGCTACCCTGGTCTCTCCTCAAACAACTCAGATATAATGACAGAATATTGTGAATTTTCTCAATATTTATCTGAAAAAGACTGCCCTAAATAGAACATCCCCCAGGACTCTATGGCATTTATTTCAATTTATTTGTTTTCTATTTTTAAAAATTGTCTGTTTAAAGAAATACGTGAAATTATAAAACTTAGAGGTTTTAAACCCCTTCTCACAAAATCTGAAATAGAGAATGTGCTAGCTCAAGGGAGGGCGAGGGGCATCAAGAGGAGACACTGAGACATCCGGACTGCGGCTCTGCGTTCGCAAGCTGGGCCAGGGCTTCGCTGACTGAAGCCAGGCAGGTACCAGGTGCCACCCGTGTCAGGGCTCAGAGGGCCAAGGCCGCCCGGGAGGGGCCTTTCCCCCCCGGGGCTTCTATATGCCTGTTAATACAGGTTCTGGGCAGGGATGAGTATAAATGCCTTGAGGAGGTGAACGGTTTGGTCATACTAGCAACTCTGCGGCCGGGCAGGCGGGCACATTGAGCAGCTGACAAGGGAAGGCTTCAATGAGGTCCAGGCATCTGCCTTCAACCACATGTGGACGGCGAAGAGAAAGACAAGGGGGAAATTCCTATTATTAAACCAAAATCACATTTAACTGTTTATAGAAATGAAGATGAGTGACATCTGAATATACATGCTTAAAATTGACAAATCATAATACACAGTTTTGGAAAGTTATTTTTCAGTATAATGGAATATTGTGTGTCATCTCTTTGGTATTCATTTTAAACACACTGGCAGATGAAAGACCACATGTCAAAGAAGTCAACAGAAAGGTGTTAAGGCTTTTCTTTTTAAAAGTAGTCTTGAATACTTAAAAGACACACTCAAATATCAGATAATACCAAACTATGTTTACTGATAATCAGAATAATAAAGCAAGGGCCCTAAAATAAACCAGTTTAAGATTGAGATTATCAAGTTGATCGTGAAATCATGTCAAACACAACGTCCAGCTACCGGCACAGCAGTGACTTTGTTCTCATAATTATTTAGAAATTTTCACGTTCTAAGAGGTTGAAATTCTACAATAAAACCATGCCCTGCATTTTGGCAGGCCGAGTCAGCCTCGCTCTGTGCTCCAGCCCATACAACATCCAAGATGACACAGCGACAGTGTCTGCAGTGGGCCTTGTGCGGTGGGAGGTACTGCTGCTCGCTCTGTGCTCTCTGAGGCTGCCTCTCTGTCCTCACACTGTCCGATCCATGTGTAAGGCAGAAGGGTCAAAGTATCCCTCCTGTATTGGTCCTGCTCAGCTGGGGTCCAGTGTTTGCATGTAGGAATTAGAGGGAAAAGGCAGGGAGGAAGAAAGAAACAAATGCTACTTAACAAAAGATCCATACCAGTCTAGGGAGGAAAAGAAAACATCCATTTTTATAATTAACTGATTATCCTAGCCTGTCAAACTCTATCACTTTAAGATATTAATCTAACCTCAAACTATGACTAGATTAAGCACTAATACATCAGCAGTCACAAAGCAGCCTACTTCCACAGCAGTATGATTTGAAAAACACGGATAAACTCTCTTCTTAGTGTGCTTATTACAGATCTTCGTGGGGGGAAAGAGCTTTCAAAGTGTAATGCAAAGTATTCTATGAGGGATGGAACCGTGGCCACACTGAGATGAGGGGAAATAGAAACTCTGATGTGCTTATCCACGGCACTTATCTTCAGGGGAGGTGAGACTACTGTATCTGTTGCTGTTGGACAGAAAGAACCCTGAGGAAGAACAAGGCAATCAAAACAGAGACCAGAGCAGAAGTGGTAAAATGACCGCTTATCTGACAGCACGAGACAAGGGAGACAGCTTGGGAGGAGGAGCAGAAGGCTGGCTGCACACCAAAATACGAACCACTGCCTACCACTGCCATTGTACGCGTGCTTAAGAGGCCAGGCCAACTGCACTTACAGGGCGCACGGAGAGCACTACTTACATACCTCCACAGATGCTTAGCCTTGTATCTATCACTGTAAAGACAATTCAGTGGGAAGTATTTGCATAAATGAATGAAATGCTCCAGAATCATAAAACCAATATAATATGTTTACTACACCAAGGGACATTTTGTTATCCTGAATGTAAATGGACAGGCACTCATCTTAATTTTTCCACGATATTTCTTTTTAAGGAAGCACAAGAAAATGATCAGCAGCACTAACCTCAGTCTTAACCCTTTCATCGCTCACACTTAAAAGGCTTAATCTGTAGGCAACAAAACATCGCGATCGATGATTCTATGTACATAACTCTGCCTGTTCCTCTCAGACAAGATTTCCTGAGCGAGGAGCTAAACAAAATCTAGATTCCGGGCCTTCCTTCCAGGTGGAATAAATCTTTGCAGGTGGAGTTTTCAAATACAAATTAAGCACTCAAGATAATTCTTTAACTTACCCTTCTTTGGGAACTATTTTATATTTCGTCCTGGAGTTTGATGGGAGCCTGACTCATACTCATTCGTTAAGTTCCAACACAGGTGTTATTTCCTCCAGGAAGATTTTTCCGAATTCCATGTTGTACTTTTCTAATAAAGCCAACAGTGCTCTCTGCACACTTCGTGTTAACACCTCGCTACGCTACAGTGAAATCACACCACTCTGGCTCCTCCCCACCTTAGAGCACAGCCCCCAAAGGGCAAAGACTCCAACCAATCTCATACCTCTGATCTGTAGTCCCTAGAACAGCACATGGTGCACAGCTGGTCCGCTTATAAATCTACATGAAATGAAGGAAAACGAATCCATGCAGAAAACAGATTCATACACAATGGAACTTACCTAACAAGATTACAGATTTCTTCCATAAAGAATTTAGTTCGATTCAATATTGTGGGCTTACTGTGACCAGCAGGGCACAGACAGACAACAGGATGAGGCACTGCTACGCAAGGGGAAAGAGAGCTATGCAGCAAACCTGGCTGCAGTTCCTGCCAGATCTTAGAGAACCCTAACAGAGCTGTGGGCTGCGGTAAGTAGAGGAGGCCAGTCCCTCCTCACCACTGGCGGCGTGCAAAGTGGTCCAGGGGAAACAGCTGTCCTCTTCGCAGGGTACGATTGAAATACCTCGTATTCCCCAAAGTGGTCAAAAAGCAGAACAGGGTGAATTACCTCCAAATCTTCAAAAGTAAAAATCATTACAAAGTACGACACAAAAGTACTATTTGTGTTCTGAGAAGAAAACAAATTCTCACCTCATTCTGACATTCAGTTACTGATACAATAAATGTTGTTCCTTTTTTTTTTTGCAGCTGTAATGTGTGCAGTCTGGGTTTCAGAATTATGTGTACCTGGGTTCTCGCCCCGGTTCTATCAGTTACAGAGTGCATGACTTAGGAAAGTCTGCTTGGCCTTGCTTTACCACAACTTCTTCACTGATAAATGCTGATAATATCTCATAGAGTGCTGTGGGGTCAAAATAATAAATCATTGTCCTAGGTCGTTAGTAAATTGTAGCTATTACATCAGCCTTGTTACACATTTGAAGGGTGCCGATGATGTTCTAAAATTTGTTTTAAAAATGCTTTGAATCATGCTTAAACTTGTGCTCAAAAATAAGTTTGGTTTGTGATAATGACAGTGATGCCTACTTCCAGTGTCAGTCACAGATGAATGAGGACTGGAAAGAAAACAAGAAATGAAACTTGTGGCTAATAACTATCAATGTGAATTTCCCTATAAACTGTCTAGTCTATGTAGGTAAGCAGTAATTTTATGTGAACAGATCTGTATTTCTATTCATATCTGAACAGGGACTGTTCTCGTGGCATCCAGGGTGTATATTTTGCGAAGCCTACCTATTTTTCAGTTCACCTAAAGTTATTTCACCGTGATGGCACCTGGCCTCCCCGTCTGCCTTCCTTCTGGAGACACCATCCATTCTATTCCCTCTCCCGCTGGTGTGGATTCCCCGATCCAAGAAAGGAAACCAGTGACTTAATATACAGCCCAGGCATCTGCACAGGCTGATACAGCTGCCCTTCTAGGCCTGGAGTTAAAATGTGTAGCTTAATCAGGGTGGTTTAGATGGTTTTCCATTGGCTTCTCTTTATTCTTAATTTTATTTTTATTTTGGTACCAGGGATCGAACTCGGGCTTGTCTTTTTAAAATTGTGGTCCAATTTATTATTTTTGTCAGACACAACACTGTTGAGCCACTGAATGTGTATGATAATATGCAAATGGCTTCAAACAAAATGTGGATAGTACGTGAGGACTTCTGACAGGGAGGATACTACTACACTAAGAAACTTGTCTACTGATTTGAAATCTACTCTGTCTCGTGGGCAGTAACGAACACCGACACTCTGCAGCTCCATTGCAAGGGCGCAATTCCAGGAGGAGACCTGCAAGCGCCACGGGCTGCCATGTTTGGGTCATCGGACATAAGGTTTAGGGGACTCTGGCAGAACAAGAAAGTGAGCTGTCTTTCTCAAGTTTCTGGGTCAACACCGTCTGCCCAGTGGGCCCCTATTTGCCAGAATTACTGAGATACAAGGTTTTGCCCTTAAGATTTTGTATGAATTCAAGCACACAAAAAACATCAGCACTGTCTCATACACTAGATTAAGGAGAGCCGAGTGGGTCTCCTGAACCTATTTAACGTTTTTCTAAAGGAAAAAAGACCATTTTACTCTAATTACTCTAAGTTGTGTCAATGCCCAGGGGGAAAGAAAGATGTATATTTTGCTGTGTATGGAGGAAAATGGAAGCAAATAGCACCTAAAACCAAACATAGTATCTAGTAATCGTATGACAGGAGAAACATAATCTATAAACTCAACAAATGTTTTTCTATTCAGTTATCTGAAAAAGCCTTTACAGATCCATATCATACATGGACATAAATATATTGTGTGTGAAATGCAGGTACAACTGTGACAACAGATACACACACAGAGAATTTATAATCTTTGAGGACTTGAGGGTTGGGTGGAAGGAGGGTGTTTCCTGAAATTTTTTTAAAAATTTGATTCTTTTAGGCCATGAAAGTTTTCATACTCATATGTGATGAATCCCTAAGAGTACGTCAAATCACACACACAGCTAGAGGCATAGTCTGAAGAAAGGTAGATTTAACAAATAACAGTTAAAGTCTTTTTCTCATTAAAGGTGAAAGCACCAACATGGTCTTCATAATGCATTTGATTAAGCTTTGTGACAGCCACAAATAAGATGGTAATGCTTGTTATGAGGAAGACACCAGTTGTTGACAATGCAGACAGTTGTTTGAAAGACAGGAAAGGTAACCATGTCGTGAAGTGCCTAAATCTGGTTTCCCAGTTAAAGCTACATGCCCTCTTAATACTTAAGTGAGGTATTTTACTATCCAATTCATGTTCTAACTCGATAACCCAACTCATTAATAAAGAAATCCTAGAAAAATCTCATTGATATAACAACGAAGGATGAATTTTCATTCAACTTAAATGCAACTCTGTAGCATACATTCTTAAGGTTCATGGTGCCATTTCCATCTTTCCTTATAACTCATGTGTATGAAACCACAGAGCTGCCCTTTGTTAAACTAAAAATTATAGGAGTTAATGGTCTTTTGGGATTCTTTTAAGGCCTTTCAATAGAGCCAAGCTGAAGTAATAATATCTATGCATGGTTTTGTTATTATGACAATAAGAAGTTCTAGCTTGCATAATATATAGTACTTAACTGGGACTAGGAAAAATGATACACTACTTTTTAGTAATTGGTAAGTAGTACATTTTTGTCTAGTTTAACTAGAAATGAGAAAAAAAAGAAAACGTCTTTCATATATATAAAATGCACTCTAATAAAGTATGTGGATAAAATTATATAATAGGTAAGAAGCAAAATTAAAAAGAAAATAGCTTATAATATTCCTGATTAATCAGTTCCTAAATATAAAAACAACAAATGAAAGTGCTTTGCCATTAAAAAAATTAGTACATTATACAATCGCATACTTTCCAGGAACTAAAGGTCTGGTGACACTGTTCTGAGGAATCTTTACATTTATAAAAATCAAAGGCCGAATTTTGCAAATACAACCACCAAGCTGTATGAGCAAATTTCACGTACAGGAAAGGCACAGATGACATCACGTTAAAGAACATTATCTGTAAAGTTCTTAAAATCGAGTCACAAGTCACTGGAAACTTTGTAAGGAATCTCAGAACTGTTTCTAACTTGATCTTCTGAATCAGACTGAGAGCTGGAGTCTTCACATCACAATATAAATTCTTCAGTTTAATGAAGATTTAAAGAAGAGCTTCTTACTTAGATTTTGCAGTGTTAAACACTCAGACCAGATAAAGTTTTCTTTAACTGGAATTGTTTTCAATTTTCAACAGCTTATCTACTGTATTTTCCAGTTTGCTTCATTTTTTTCCCACATTGCTACAATTGTAAAGAGTCAATCATGGAAGAAATTCTAAATCAAAGTAGGCCTCTACTGGCTTCCTACACTGGAATACAAGAATACAGGAGGTGCTTCCAATGGGAAGTTCCATAGTTCTACAGTACAACCTGTCTAAAAGACTTGCAAGGGACCAGGACTTGACTTGGTCTCTTTGGAGAAAAGCAGAGGCAAATGAAGACATAAACTTAAAAACACCTTAAAAATTCCTTTATGAAAATGAATGCGTGCTTCCACTTAGATTTTGTGCTATGGAAAGGAAATGAGACACAATAAAACTAAGGGTACAAAAAAAAATTTTATCAGAAATAAAAACAATTTTCTATGTGATTGAAACCCTTCACCATCAGATAGCATGGTGATCTCCTTCCCCTTAGAAACACCAGGGACCTGCCAGTCAAAATACGTTTTACAGATGCTATGAAGGGTGATACTAAAATAGTGTTATAACCCAAATCATATAATCTCCCATGAAATTGCTGGCTGTTTTGCTAAAGTAAAAGTAACCTCAAATCAAAAGTGAGCTGTTAAATCCCTGGAGGACTGTTTGTTCAACAGTAACGTCCTTTCTCAGTTTTGTCAGCCGGCTCCACCACCCAGGGCACTCATTTGGGTCAGCAGCTGATGCTCTTCCCACGGAGTTTAAAGCCTTTGGCAGAACGCTGGACAGGACTCTCCGAACGAGCTCTTCTGGTGGTGGCCAGGTGAGCACAACAGTGCGGGGTCCGCCGACAGCCTGCCCGGGGGACGCCCGCCCCACCCAGCCGTCAGGACTCCAGTAACGCGTGCCACCTGCACACCTGCTGGCCTTTGGACTCCTTCATCTCAGTCCAGTGACTGAGCTCCTCCTCCCCTGAGCTGTTCAGACCCAGAGAGATCCAGCCTATCATCTCTTTCCTCTTCATGCTGCGCTTGTTATACACAGACAGGATAAGCGTTACATCAGACAGCTGGAAAAGGGCCACTTGGAACACGAAAGTTTCCTTGTACACTGGATTTGGCTGCCCTCTGCGGATGGACGTTTTGCATTTGGACATCTCTTGACCCATGGAGTTCAGCAGAGTTAACTTAACATATGTATCTAAAGGGGAAAAGACACCAACATACCGCAAATATCATTTGAAACAAACTCAGAACAATTTCTCATAGTAAGTGCTAAGAATATTAAGTATTTAGACTTATAAGGATATGGTGTATACCATGTTTAATAGAAATTTAACAAATTCCAGTTTGATGTACGTGCTCATAAAATGTGCCAAGTACAGAGAATGCTATGTAGGCCAAAAATGTTTTGGGACTAATAATCTCCTCCCCTCACTATCTCTACATGATAGAATTTAAAGGTATACCTCATAATCCTTCCCGCCCTCCACCCACCGGACCTCCCACGACCACCCCACCATCACTGTAGCATTTAGCTCCACCAGCAGGACACCACGGCATTAATAAACACTTAGCAAGCTCAATTAGCCACAACACTGGAAAGCATTCCACTGTGTTTTCAGAGAGTAAGAATAAACAGACAAATAGAAATGAAGGCAAATGACAAAGAGGAGAAGAGGGAGACAAGAATGCAAAGATGACATCAAAACAGCGTAGGATGAAATGTCAAAAAAATCTCTGCATGGATGTGGTTTTTAAATATATTTTTAAAACGTTTAAGGGCTAAAATGAAGCCAAATGCATTAAGGGTTCAAAGTTTAGAAAACCAAGTAAAACTTTCTCCTGGTTTCATGCAAGAGTACATTTAATGTGCTTTTTGGGGTAGCTCAAATAAACACTATAGGGTTTCTTTTAGGCACAATTTAATGTGAATTTTTAAGTATGATATCTTAACTATTTTTATGAGATATAAAAGAAATTGATGTGATGTTTGGTGTACAAAGTGAACTTAACATTTCATTGACTGATTGTATCATGGGAGATAAATCCTCTCTTACAAACTGCTTTTGAGTTCTTAAACAGACTCATGCAAATGATCCTCAGCATGTTGATCCATCATGTGTACTTCACATTGAGATTTCAATTAACTTTAAAGGCAATTGCCATGTTTCTCATGACATGTTTCTGTTGCATAAATCAAAATACAAATGGAAAAATAAGAACTTTTATTCCAAAAAGTTTTGCTTATTTTATAGATACTCCGAATACCATCATCCATAATCAGAGATATATTCTAAGTTAGTTTTACTTCAAGTACCACAGATAATAAATGTGCATTTTTTCGGAAACCAACATGGTGGACAGCTTCACTGCTGGCAAGTTTTAGGGTATTTTGTTTTTGCATGAAAAGACAACATCCAATTAGCCTCTACAAGAACTCACCTCGGATTATATAAACCTGTCCACCTATCAAGTGTTTTAGACAACAGAACAGTCCATCTGACAACAGGGGGTGGAAAGCAGTAAAAGAAATAATGACCAGATGTCAATCACTGGGTGAAAGAGGGTCAAAGGTCAGAATTAAAGAGGAAACACTGTTCACGGGCGTGGCAAACACAGAGCTTCAGCATTTTAATTCAGGTAGAGGGTTGAACAAAGGTTGTTGGGTAAATTTCATGGAATGAAAAATTTTAAGTCATTGTGTAATCTTAAAAATTACACTGTTTTAAAGGGGGACATCTTTATAATGATACCCTCTTGATCTAAAGCACATTGAACATAGAATCATGCAAATCATCAGATATAAAAGACTGACTAAAAGTCATTATAGGATTATCATTATTGTTATACTAAATTTTAAGTTCATCCATGCAATATTTAATATTTCAAATAGTTTTATTACTCCCAATATAATATGAAATTAAGTTATGCAAAATAAAATACAGCTATCACAATGTTTGCTCTTGAATGCTGCTATAGTTTCTTTGGATAAAATTGGGATTATTCCATTTATAACGTATTCAAAACTTAAACCTAGATATATATGAAAGGCAAGAATCTTACGTAATATACACAGTTTAGAACAAATTAATGGAACTGTCTTGCATTTTACTATATAAATATCCTACTTTCATATAATCATTTAAAAATTGACTCATATTTACTTACTAGTTATTTTCTGGCTAACATTATTAATCAACTTTATACTGACTAATTCTAAAATAATGGCAAGTGCTATAATCCAATCCCAGAGGAAAGACTGATTCTGTGCTTGGATGATAACCTTTCCTTAGTTATTTACATCCAACCCTGCCTTTGTTCCTTTTCAGTTCTGATTCCTGTTTCTCTATTTATGTCAGAGTATCACTCTGCTACTCTTTAACATCACCAGTGAAGCACTTTGCAAAACAAATCACTCAGCTATTAGCTAAAGCATGAGTAGCAAGCCGAGAGCTTGTGGCTCATTGTGACCTCAAGGGATGCTTGATGTGCAGTGCTCAGCGGCGTCTTTGCATCCAGGTGTCTCAGTCCGGGAGGGCGCTTGCTGTGGCAGGGACCCTGAGTGGTCATCTTTCATTCACAAATCTTTCTCATACAGGTTGTATCCCAGGCCGTATGAATGAAGATATCAAGTCCCACTTCCTAGTCTGTTCATTCTAGGAATGGCTTCTTTCCTCCCACTGCACTTCTCTTTTGAAATGAAAAAGTGCGTAATAATAATTCTGTCTTCTATGCATCTTTGTCCAATCTTGAGCCTCACAACCCTGTGCAAGACATGACCTTCCCTTTACCAATAAAGAATAGACCTAGATCATTTGTCTAAGAGTAGAAATACGAATGTACTTCAGCCTCCAGACTTTTAACTCAGGGATAGATTCATTCTACGATATATATATATATATGGCTTCTCAACATTACTTGGTATAATCCAAACGTATTTTTAGGACTTTTCACCTCCATTGAATAATAAATTTTTATGACACTTAGAAGAAAGTCAATTTACTTTAAGGATAGACAAAGTTTCCCCTTCTTTAGTAGCTGCAATTTGTGGAGTAAAAAAGAGTACATTAAGCAAGTCTATGGGAAATCTGTAAGGTGGCGTTATTATTAAGGTTTCCTTTCATGTTTTCCGTGCTGAGCACTGACAGTTTTGATGTCACAGAGGTGTAGAGACGTTGCTTCTTCCCAGTTTACCGCTGATGGATATCAACAGACAGTTTCAGAGCTACACTGGGGTCGACTTCTCTACTCCAAGGACCCACTGCACCATCCTGAACCAAGAGAGTACAGAGCAGAGTGAAGAGAGCAGAGAAGGGCTCTGGCCTAGGCCAGGCGGTAACCAGCAAGCTCTGCTTATCCTGTCTCCCTTCCTTCTGCTGGAGAAGAGCCTCGGCTGGCAGTACTAATTTATGGGCTTGTTTTTCTTAAGTTTTTATCTTTTTGTAGTGCTGGGGATCAAACCAGGGTCTCGTGCACACTAAGCATGTGCTCTACACTGAGCACTACCCCAAGCCTCCTCAATGTTAAAGGAAAAAAAAATGTGCAGGAAGTTTCTGCTTCAAATTGTTACAGGAAACAGAGAAGTAAATACATTAGTTCATAGGGCTGCACACAGACAGAAAATAACATTAATCTTCAGTTAACAATAATAGCTAGACACATTTCTGTTCGTATTTGTGAACATTATTTGCTTTTTAAAAACCTATAACTTTTTCTGTCATTAAAAGATAATGACTATGATAGGACTAATTTATTCTGCAAACACTATGAAAAATTAAAATTCCTGTCACCATACAATTAATATTTTGAATTTCAAATTTTTCTACTTCCCAAATGAGTGGAAATAGAAAGCATAAAACAGATTAGCTGACGGTTCACCATTTGGATATGACTGATTAAAACTGCAAAGATAGGACTGAAACTTCTAATGCTGAGTGTCCCCTAAGTACAGAAAGCGTTAGAATTAAAACATGTTCTCACTCACTGGGTGGTCTGTTTGCTGCCAGGTTTTTGAAGTGGCTGCCTTTTATCACTTCTGCAGACAACCTTCCCGTGGTGGCGTTGTAAAGCAGGCCAATGAGAATCTCTGGAACGGAGCCACGTTCCAGAGACTGACAGGAGGTCACGCTCTCGCTGCAGGACACCTCTGACGCACTCGCTTGGGAGTCACAGCCCTGCAAACCAAATCCAAATTTTCACAGGACTGCGCAAGAGGCATGTTCAGAGATACTTTGTTACAGCCGTGTTCCTGAAATTAGGCAGGTGAATTACAGTGAAGACACCTGCAAACCACACTCTCCAAACGCAGACAGGAGACACTGGCCTCAGATATTTCAGTCCCTGGATCTCTCCTCACTGAACAGGAGCCAGAGAAGTGACAGGGGATGCTAAACTTCATAAACTCCTGCATATTAATATGCAAACCAGGGAAGGCAAATTTCTTAGACTTTTAGATACTAATGAACTATTTTCTGAATGTGAAAAATTGTTCTCTAAAGAGTTATCAACCTTAAAAAACTGATACCAATTTAGATTCAATTACATAACACATCTTAACTGTGCCTTTAAAGACAAAGATAGGTATACCCTGACTGAGGGAACATAACAAACTATCTGTTGTTTATAAGTCAACATCTAAAGCGCAGAGATGCGGAAAAGTTAGGATGATTAAATTTAGCATTCATATAATAACCACAAGAAAACCGATGCTGCTACATTAGTATCAGTCATGGCAGGCTGCAAGACTATGGCCATTACTAAAGATAAAGAGCACGCTTAATCGTGATAAAGCATTCAATGTATTAGGGAGATAAAATAATTCCAAATTTACTTGCACTTCATAGCATGGGCTCAAAACACAGAAAGCAAAAGTTGCCATAACTACAAAGAGAAATAAAGAAAACCATAATCAGTGGGGGCATTTGCACACTCCTCTCAGGAACGGACCAGTGGTCGGAGAAATAGCGGAAGGATGCTGACCTAAGTATCACAATAATAAAGTGACCTAACGGTGACATGCAGAACACCATAACCAACAACTGAAGAACATATACTTTCCAAACACACAGGAGAACATTTATAAAAATAAAACAAGTAACAATTTCAAAAGATTATAGTGATTCATTATATGTTGTCAATTAGAAATCCAAACTATTTTCTAGAGAAGAATAAAATCCCTATATATTT